TTCAAATTTTTGATAGGGTTGCTATGAGTTATGACTGACTCTCCAACTATTAAATTGCATAATTAAAAAAACTGCTTACTAAAACTCTTCATATATTAAAATAATTAGTATTTTTATCCTATGAGTTGTATATTTTTTTTAGGTGATAATTTATCTTTCAAATTTTTGATAGGGTTGCTATGAGTTATGACTGACTCTCCAGCAATGGGCTTGGTTTTTGGTTTAGTTGTATCGTGGCTATCATTATGCTTAAATTTGAATTTTCATAGAATCATATTTGTCAGTTTTTTCCAAATGAATTATGGGTTTGCATGATGCTTAGAAAGGGCTTTCCAAGCTAAGATTATAAAAATCCATAGCTCTAAATGATTTAACAAAAAATCTCTTGCTTTGAAATTCTTTTATAGTTTTTCACGTTGAAATCTTTTATCTGGAATTTTAGTAAATAATAAGGTTGGAATCTACCTTTATATTTTCCTTCAGATATCTACATAATTCTTTTTGCTACATAATTATTATAATGCTATTTATTGTTAATCTATTTCTCTCCATTGATTTAAGATTCCACTTTTTCCATATGATAAATTTTCATATGTATTTGAGTTTATTTCTGAACTCTATTCCTTTCTAGTCACCTATCTGTTCGTGGATTGTACTTAAAATGTTTTGGAAGTTTATCATGCATTTCAATATCTGATTTAGTCTCACCTGAGTACTTTTGCTTTTCAGAATTTTCTTAGATAATTCTAATATGATATGTATTATATTGTCAGATCCAAAAAACCCAAATGGATGGCAGCACATAGAGTTTCTATGTTAGTTTGGGAAACACTGACAACCTTACAACGCTGAGTCTTCCCACTGAAAAATAAATTATAGATAGAAAGTTACTCAAGTTATCTAAGTTATAACATTGTCGCATTTTAAAATTTGTGTCTTAAAAATAGTTTTAATAAATTTTGTAAATGTTTTCTCTTTTTCACATGGGAATTTTTCTTCAATTATATTTATGAACTGATTATTTTTGCATTTAGAAAAACTCCTGACTTGTGCAGTGGTTTTGTATGAGTGGCTTTGCTTGTGAGAATACTTGTGGCAATAAAGCGTTACCTCTGAAAATCCAGAACCTCATGCGCAGTATCTGTTCCTGCGCTCCCAGCACCAGGCACTATTCCAGACGGCATTGCAGGTCCACCACTACAAGACTGTCTTGAAGAAGCTACAGAATAACAGAGAAAATGACAACTGAGCATTTTTAAAAACACAGGAATTTATTCAATAGCTTTCATTTCCAATTTGCTTCCCATTTCCTCCTTACAAATAGATTAGCCCCATCCTAAACTGTCAGAAAGTGCTCACCCCTGCGTTATAAACAGCATACGTGGTTCTGAGAGACTTAAAGAGGTGATATGAATCAAATGTCTGTAAAGTCATTTGAGGATTAGTCCAGTCTCTTCCTACTTTGTTCTCTGCCCTGAAGCCAGAGAAACACAAACTTTCATTTTTAATTTTGCATATAATACGTTAATACATTCTTGTGGAGGAAAATTAGCTCCGGTAAAACAAAAAGCCCTCCTACATGCTTCTCATTAAGTGGACAGACAACTGTCTATTGGGCGCAATGATTGGATAAGGAGCCCTCCTGCAAGGATAAAACACGAATCCTGCTCTTGAACGACTCACCATTAGTGGGGAGCCAGTCAAATGAATAACTAATTGCAAAACCAAGATCGCAGCGCTGTCGATGCCGCCTCAGATGAACCCAGTCCCACAGAGCAGAACTGCATCATCTTTCTCCTGTGGAGCGGCTGATGGCTTCCAAACACCAATCTCGCGGGACCAGCCCAGCCTGGACCCCACACGGCCCCGGGCTCCTTACCGGTGCAATGCAGGGGACTGCTTCACCGTGGGTGAGCCAGTCCTGTGCCAGCGCTGAGGAAAGAATGGGGCGGGCGGGGGTTGGGGGGTGGTGGGGGCGTGTTCTGGCATTTCATCTGGGACAGTGTTTTCGGTTCGGACTTGGTCTCTTACAAGTCTAACTGAAGTTGGGACTCCTGGAGCCCATCCCATAGAAGGTGTTTCAATTTCAACTTACAATTGCCAAGAAATAGTAACTTAATAATGATGATGACTCTTTCATCATAATATATACTAGTAATAAGTCTTCCCTCTTCTAAGACTGCTTACCTTCTGATGATTGAGAACCACAAGGCAGCAGCAATGGTGCTTTTCCAGTCTCGCCATGCCTCCTAGAATTAAGAAATAACATGGGTGGGTTTTTTTAAGGTGAAAGAAATTAAGCTCAACAATTAAGCTCTCTATATTAGATTTATCAATTCTCCACTCACTTCTGTTTTGTGTATTTTTTTCAAAAATGAAATAGCAAATTTCATTTTTTTGTATTTCATTATGTATATAATGAATATACAAATTTCATTTGTATATACAAATTTCATTATGTATATAATAATAAAGGCTCTGTTGGTGTCATTATCTGTAGAAATATTTATAATACTGTAATATTATAATATTGAGCAAGCTAAAATAATGGTAGATCTTATTCCCCTATCCCAACCTATTCAATCATGTCTTGGTTAATGCCGTCCTGCTAATCTTTCCAAAACGGTAGGTGCCAGGTTGACAGTAACTGTCTTCTTGCAGTAATTTTTAAACTTCAGGAGATATTGATACCGAACACGTGCCAGGCACTATGCAAGGCCCTGGACAAGTAGGGCGAGGTAATGGGCAGATGTATCATTGATTAACTGAGGATAACTTTGGAGTATCTTCTTATGTGTAATAAATCATCCTTTTAATAATAATGTTTACATTTTAAATTTATGCTTTATATCGTAAAGAATTTAACCTTGTCCAAAGAGAGGTCTAGCCTTTGATTTTGAAAGGTATTATTTTTGTTGTTGTTGTTAATAAATCATTTTATTGGGGGCTCTTACAGCTCTTATAACAATCCACACATCAGTTGTATCAAGCACATGTTTGTACATGTTTCCATCATCATTTTCAAAACATTTTCTTTCTATTTGAACCCTTGGTATCAGGTCCTCTTTTTTCCCTGTCCTTCCCTCACCCCCCACCCTTGTGAACCCTTGATAATTTATAAATTATTTCAATTTTCATATTTTACACTATCCGCTGTCTCCCTTCACCCACGTTTCTGTTGTTTGTCCCTCTGGGGGACGGGTGGTGGCGTGTTATATGTGGATCATTGCGATCGGTCCCCTCTTTGAAAGGTATTCTTTAAGTCCTTGGAACACCATCCCTTATAGGAGTGTCTTTGTTTAGGGAACACTAAAAAAAACTCTCTGTGTCACGCTCTGTTCTGAGTGCTTTCAAGGTATAACTTTGTTTATCGTGGAGATTCTGACGGGGCTCGTCAGCTTCAGGAGTAGTTGGCCAGGGGGAGCCAACAGAGTCTGAATACATTCAACCACGGTGAGTTGTCAATGCTCCGTGTGTACTGTCACACAGCAATTCTGAGAACATAAAGCAAACTTTTAGTTTAATTATAAGAACTAAATCCAATAATTTAAATAATTGGATTATTCAAAATATGTTTCTCAAGTGATCTAAGTCCAGAGTTTTAATGGTTTAACCAGATGAGAAAAGAGGAACAAAGATTATTTATTTTAAATTAACACAAAAGTATTAACAACAAAAATAAAATTACTTACAAAACTAAAGTGTTGGCTGACACAATATATTCCAGTTCTTTGGTCCAAGGATTTGTAAAACTAAACCATCGGCTTTTTAAAGTTACAAAAGACCCATCTTTTGCTCTGAATTTGTAGCAATCTGTTAATATTTTCTCCTTACTCTGCAGAACTTAACAAGAAAGAATAATAATCAGCACAGGCTCCCACCATAAATATCAATCCCGTAAAGATTAATTCATGCTTCTGATTTCACAGGAATGAGAAATTAAGAGTTGAAGCTGCCATTTAAAGTCTCTGAAGGAAAAAACGTACCCCGCCCAATGCATACCTGCTTTGTGCTTGTCAGTCAAATGGCTCCAGTCATCTGGATGGAAATACTCATAACAAGAAGTCCCCAGAAGCTCCTGAGGCAGATACCCTAAAACTGCCGTTACCCTGGTTTTAAGATAGAAAATAAATGTCAAGATTAGTGAACTCTCTCTCAGAATACCGCAGACCCTTAGGGTGTGATGCGGTCACTCTGGGAATTCATTTGAGAGCCTTGAGTTGTTTTCTGTTTCTTTTCCTGTTTTTGAATAGGTGCTTAGGACTGAGGGAAGGTGGCAAGGGGAGGAGTAGGGAACCCATATGTATCCCTGGGGTCTCGGGTTCCCTTGAGCTGCTCTTGGTCCAGCCTGGAGCTGCAGAACCGAATGAACACCCAGGCAAGAGGCTAAAACTCAACCCCAAGCATGTTCTGACCACCATTCCCTGGGGCAACTGTGACCATGGCCCATGCCCAGGTTCTGAGCTATTGGTTGAAAGATATTATGCAAGTCTACATTTTTGCTTGGACAACTTTAATCACATGTTCATGTCTTTGTTTCTTTTACATTTTTATTTCCTGTCGCGAAAGCTGAAAGACAAAATCCAGCAAAGCTGCTGAGTTATATTTTTCCGTAGCCTTAAACATTCTATTGCGCTCTAATCGTGATGCCATGGAAATGTTTACCTTTGATCCACGAACACAAATTTTCCGTTCACCGTAAACCTCGTTACAAATTCGGCTGGTTTGACTTTAATCTCTCCGCTGTTCTGTGGGACAATGGACGGATGCAATCTGCCAATGGCAACGAGGCAAGTACAATGACTGCTGTCTTTCTTGGGCTCCCTCTCCTCTTCCAGCCCAGCAACATTTGGAGGCCAGCTTCTCAAGTAACCCGTGCAGTGGACAGTATAGAATTTTCTCTGTTCTAATTCAGAAGTAAAGAAAAAGGAAGGCATTTGCATCACTATAAATCAATGCTTAAATCTATTACATTGACATTTATAAGTTAGCGTTATACTACAAAATGCTGCTTACATAAATATGTTCAGATGTGAAAAGGAAGTAGCACCTTGCATTGAAAAGAAATGATCAGTCTCATTCATTTTATTTAACAACTTCCTCTTTACTGAGTGCTTTCCCCAGGAACTCAGCCTTATGCACTAGAAAGAAAAACTGACGGATTATGTAATGTAGGTCTCAATTGAGTTATTGATCGATATGTCTCCTAGTCAAATTTTCAATTACAGTGTCTGATAAGCTGCTAAAAAAAAGCTTAAACTTCAAGACTTAAACGTCATGCCCTCTTGCTCATTACCACAAAGATGGTTTATTAAAATTGTATATTATAACTTATATACAAAATTTAATCACCACTCTGGATATATTCTTACATCTCTTACTTTAGGGTTTACAGCAATTATAGTAGACTACAGGAAGATTTTAGAAAATACTTTGGGAAATTTGTCATAAGAGACACAAAAATAAAATATGACTCAAAAATTCTCCCTTTTCAGAAAAATCAGAAGCAATTTAATCTCAACTAATGAAAGGAAAAAGCTTGTCCAACAAGGCTAACCAACATAATAAGAAGTTGGAAATAATCCATATTCAAATACTAGGATACGCCTAGGAAGACAGTGAGATACCATACCACACAGGCATTGAAAATGGGCGATTTACAGATTATGGCAATCCACCATACGTAAGTAATTTAGACGAAAAAAGTAGGGGAGGGGCCTGATTACAATTACTTAAAACCATTGCTTGTAAAAAGGTTTGGAAAGGACCAGGATACTCGTTAATTTAAAATGGCACTTTGGGGTAAGACTGTTATCAAATCAACCGATCTTTCAGCGAATGTTAAGATGAAATGGGGTACCTTGTATGACAACAATGAAAAATAATAGCCAGGACTTATTTTAGAAAAAGACCCCTCTGTGCCATGTTCTGTTCTCAGTGCTTTACAGGTATAGCTCACGCATCTTAGCAGTCCTGTGAGCTGTTCTGACAGTGTCCCCACTGTCTTGGGGACCTAGGAAGGTCACAGCTGGCCACGGGCGGCGCTGTGCTTGTTGCTGAGTGCCACCACGGCGGACGCTCGAACAGGAGGTGTCTGGGCTGTGGCAGGATGGAGTGAGCACAGGGGTGTTATGGCTTGGCCAGTGCAGATGCTGAGAGGCAAGAAACAGCGAGGGCGGGTTTGAAGCACAGACGGTGGGACATGGCTGAAGACCAAAGCAGGGAACGGATCGTTAGGGCTTTACCCTCAACATCTAACAGACGTCAAACTTCCACGGTTCACAGACGACTAAACCACAAATGCCTGCAAGTGAATTTGTTGCCTTTCCAATGCCCGCTCTAGTCACTATGCCCTTGTTTAATGGCACCGTGATCAACCAAGGCAGTCACATTGTTTTCAGGTCTGGAAATCACTCCAGGCCCCTGCCCTTATCTCACCCCTACTATTCAAAACATCTTAAAGGAATGAAACTAGGATAAGCATAAATACAAGGTGTTCATTCATATGAACAAAATAGTGGTCACAAATAAAAAGCTTTATACACAGGGGTTGGCATTTCTGATGGCGTTTGCACATTTCCACGTGATACTGACTAAACATCTGCAATGAAAGCGAACATTGGATCAATGCTCACCTCTCAGACTGCCACGGCGGCGATTCCAGCTCAAAGGGCAGAATATACAAATAAGGTTTTTTCTTTATAAATGGAATGCTATTCCACAGAATCCAGTGTTTTCCTTTCCTATAGGGAGGTCCCCACTTAAGTATCCAAATTAAAGTCCCTCACTTCTCACCTTGAACATTTATTCAGTTGGTAAATTTCTAGTTGGGATGATGTAATTCCATCCATGGCAATTCATTTGATCAATTACCTAAAGTTAAGGAAGGGGAAGAAAAGTTCCCATAAAAAATTCTTGTCCTAATTTTTTTTAGATCTTATCATGAGTCATGGACCCCAAACTTTGCCAAAGCTAAACTCTGTATTTACATCCGTCACCCAGGGTAGATTCAAGTATAATTTGTTCCATGATTTAAAAAAAGGAACGAAATATCAATATCCCCCGCTGCGTTAATTTATAGAACACCCTTTCAAAATCCTTTATGATATTTTCCCTCAACAAGTCCCAGGCTGGTCTCTCCACCTGGAAGCTTGCTCTCTTGGTATAAGTTCTTACAGAAACCAACACCAAACTTGCTGCCAGCCAATCCTGACTCAGAGGGGTCTGCTGTTGGCTTCTGATGTCATTGTTTACGGGAGTAGAGAGCCCCGTCTTTCTCCTGCAGAGCTGCCGGTGGTTTTGAACTCTCCACCATACAGATCGCAGCCCATCGCATCACCACTGCACCATCAGGCAGACCCTAAGGACTGTAGGACAAGAAATGTAGGCGAGAAGCAATCACGGGGAACACTGGTCACTGGTGGGGAAAGGCTGGAGTGAGACAGGAAGAAGTGAGCAGGAAGCTAATGAAGGGCGAGTTTTCTGGCAAAATGCCTCTCTGAGAGAGGAAGCAGGGTCTTTGGGGCATGCTGGAGGGAAGGTAGGAGTCATGGTGGCATAAGGTTATGCGTGGGACTGCTAGCCACAAAAGTCAGCAGTTTGAAACTACAAGGCACTCCATGGGAGAAAGATGAGGCTTTCTACTCCAGTAAAAAGTTAACAGTGTCAGAAATCCACAGGGGTAGTTCTACCTTGTCCTATAGGGTCATTATGGGTCAGAGTCAACCCAATGGCAGTGAATTTGGCTTGAGGTTTTTTGGGGGGGACGTTGAGCAGGAGGCTCAGGATCATTCTGCCTTCAGTCATTGGGCAGAGGAAATCGTGCTTGGCAAAGCGGAGGGTCAGAGAACCAGAGGAAGACTCACGGACAGGGAGGGATGGACTCACACCGAGCAACAATTGTGAGGATGGTGCAGACCGGGGAAAGCTTCATCCTGTCGTGCATAGATAGGGTTTCTATGAGTCAGAACAGACTTGACGGCAGGTAACAATAACATGATTGGGTCAAGGGCACTCCCCCCAAAGCAGGAAAACCAACCCCACTGCCATCGAGTGACTTTTGACCTGTCTTACTTAGCCCAAATCAGGGTTTCTGAGAGCAGACAGCCTCCGCCTTCCCCCGCCGCCATCATTCCCCGCACTTCAGCCCCGCTCTGCTGGTGGACACGACGACTTGGCTCCCAAGACCAGAGAAAGGCAGCCAATCAGAGCACAGGTGGATGCCCCGTGCTGGCAAGAGCAGAGGGGACACTATCGCCCTGGGCTCTGACAGGGCTGGCGACATTTGCTCCTTAGCAAGTGGGTTCTGAGTGCCATCACTGTGGTTCGTGAGATCAATGAAAGAAAACCGAAGACATTGGGTAGCCTTTGTTTCCTCCCTCTTTAGTCTTTAATTTCACGAGATACCAGAGTGAGTCTGTCTCTACGTTGGGAACTTTTCAAAATGTTAGAGTCAGGAAAGAAATAACTTTTTTTTTTTAAATGTCAGTGTTATTTACTTTTTTTTTTCATATTATCGGAAATCTCAAATAATCTCCCAAATCAGAGACAATTCTGCTTCTGCAGTTATCAACTCATGTCAGTTATCAACTCATTTAAATTTAAATCCTAAATTTGGTTTTTTTCCAAATAACAGTCAAAAGGGTTGCTTTCCAGTCTCTCTTCTTTTAAAATTAAACAGTGAAAGGAAGAAAAACACTTTTACGGAGCCATCGGCTTTCAGCATTACTGAGGGCTGGACTTTAAAATCAGTGGATTCCATGGGCCAATGATTTTACAGGGTGAAAAAATCCCAATGTCGCAGCAGGATAAAGCCACTCCCTTCACAGGCATCCTCCTTTATTAGAGGGGAATATAAAACAGCCCCGCGCTGGAAGTCCTTCCCTGTGGCCAGCCAGGGTGATACTGTGCAGTCTCTTCACCCTGGCCCAGCCATCCACATGCAGTTCTCAAACCAGGCTGAGAGGTAACAAACGCCCTTAGCTCGCCTTAAGCTAAATGGGCCTCTTGCCTTGGGCACTTTTGGTTAAGTGAAGATGGCCCAGCTTGAAGTAGGAGGGGAGCCTCCTTGTGTGGGAGCAGGAACACATTTCTACAACAGACGGCAACTCCCTTGTTGGCATGGCTGTTAGAGAAGCCATCTAGAATGAATCTCTTTCATGCATAGCCTCCAGCCTCCAGCAAGCTACTGTGGGTGCCCTGGTATAGGAGAAACAATGAAACCCACGCCAGTTGCCATCCAGTCAAGGCTGACTCATGGGATTGGTCAGAACTACCCAGGGGGTTTCCAGGGCTACACTCTTGACGGGAGCACAGGGCCGCATCTTACTCCCATGAAGAAGCTGATGGGGTAGCAATCGAGTGCCTCATCACTGAGCCGCTAGGCGTCCTTGGTAGAAAGAAAACAGCATTTAAAACCAGAGTCCTGACTCAGCCCGCTTCTAAGAGATTTCAGACAAATTGCATAACCTCTTTAAGCTTCACCCGCAAACTGGGGCTGTGTTGCACAGGTACAGGGTGGCTACTGCTGTGTGTCTTCGAGTCAAGGCTGACTTGCAGCAACCCCAGAGGAGAGAGTGTATGGAATGATGCAGAGGACTGAGCACACAGTAAACTCACGCAAAGCACTGTCACCGAGTGGATGCCGCCTCATAGCCACGCTACCAGGCAGAGCAGAATTGCCCCTGTGAGTTTCCAAGACTGTAACTCTCTACAGGAGTAGAAAGCCCCATCTTTCTCCCGCAGAAGAGCGGGTGGCTTCAAACTGTGGACCTTGCAAGTTCGTAGCCCAGAATATAACCACTCACTCTGTCTCCATATGAAAACTGATAGCCACCAGGTCTCCTCTCCCCCATGGTTCTTCAGAAATATTCCATCTCTCCTTATTCTCTTTCATTTTCCTTCTCG